TCAAGTGAAAGAACAATATAGACAAAGTTTTAGCAAAAAAGTAAGTTTTGGAGGAATCTACAGAGAAATATATGAATGCTTACTTCTGAAAATAGGCATTTAAATTATGACGGCAACGATAAAAGGACATTTTCATGAAGAAAGAACAATATATTTTAGTACAGTTCAGAATATTCAAATTGTTGGTGTGTTTATCAGAGTTATGAATTGGAAAAAAAGAAAGAAAGAAAGAAAACTGGCTTTTAACATTTTACAGTATATTGTAATTCTTGACTTTGTAGATCCAACATCTAGAGCAAACACAGAAAACTGAATGATTCTGGGGGTGTAGCCAAATGGCGAAACACAAGACAAAGAGAAACAGTTCACCAACACTTGGATTCATATTCATATTTAGACAATATATAGGAAGAGAGAAAAAGATTCGATTTCATTATAGAGTCAGTTGTCAGATTATGACACAAAAGCTGTTAATTTTCCTGTGCATTACGTTTTTTCATTTTCTGAATGCTGCCATAATATTTTCTAATTTTTACTAAATTAATTTTCCTAATAATATATATTAGATGCTTTAACAAGGAAGTACTTTTAATAATTATGCCAAACCAGGAGTTCTGAAGTGATAATCTAACTCTGCCATTTTTTTTTTTTTTTTGTTAAAGCATGAAACTTTATTGAATGCATCCATGCCTAACATTAAAAACCTAGTCATATATAATTTGCCAAATGAATTTTTGTACCTATTTTTAATTAGGAAGTAATAATATCAAATTTTAATTAAATGCTTTATAAAAACAGGAAAAAATATTTAGATTGGTGTGGGAGGGTTACATAAAATAACATAAAATTTTACTTATGCCACAAGCTATTACAGATTACTTTCTTCTTTTACCCAGTTGATCTTTTTAGAGGTTCTATGGACAAGTGACAATTTTTCAAAAATGTTTTTACATAAGGTTTAGGAATGATTTCTTTTAAGGTTTTCTTTTTAACAAAATGGTCATTCAATTGGAAACATACTAATTTTTTTATCAAATACCTTCAACAGAAAAAAAAAAAAAAAAAAAAAAAAAAAAAAATTGATACCTAACAACAGTGCTTAAATTGTGGCGGAGCCTGGCTCCGCTACTTCTCAATTTTTAAGATAAATTACAATTCAGCCGGAGCGCACCGGAGCCATAAATAAAATGAGCTCTGGTACTTTTTATAAAACTGAGTCACAATTTCAACAAAATAAATAAATAAATAATAGAATTCCTAACGTTTTAGTTTAACAATAAGCAGACCTTGCAATACTCTATTTCCCTAGAAATACAAACTCATAAGAACATGAGATGTTCAAGTAAAGTCCCCTCACTCACATACGGAAACCTTTCCCTTTAAGAAGGGCAATAAATTTGGGGAAGTTTGTTTAGGAACGCGTGAAATGTCATCGTATCTAGTGTATTGTTATTGATGGTTACAGTTAGTTATCCTCGCAGGAAGGAAAATTTGTGTTCTTAAATGTGCGTTAAGTAAGGTTTCCTTTTTAACAAAATGGTCATTCAATTGGAAACATAATTTTTTATCAAATACTAATTGACTTAATTACCGCGAATGGCCTTAGAGCATAAAACTGAACTATCTGGTAAAAATTCTATGTAAGTGTATACCACTATTGATAAAAAATGGCTTTGACTTGTTTTGAAAATGAGGCGTAATAGGTTACCAGCGAAGATATTCCGTTTAGCATCACTTGTACCATTATTGGCGATTTTATTGTTTGCACCGGCAAAACGGAAAAGTACCAGAAAATAATCATGCTATAGAGTTTTAGTTTAGAAAAGTCTATTTTGTAAAAGTTAAGATATCAAACTTTTTATACACCCCCAAGTTCCAACAGCCGTATTTAGTAAGAGATTACAATCTTTTTTTTTTTAAAGTTTACTTCTCACGTGAAAATATATATATATATATATACACAACAAGTATTTAAAACTTGAAATTATATTTCCTGAAAATTGTAAATGTAAAACTTTTACCTGAAGAGTAACAGATTTTTTTTCAAAAAACACGAGCCTGGTCTTTTGAACCTAAGGCGCAAGCTCGTGTAACTCAAAAGAGCATGTGCGCTCCCGGTTAAAAACCTTCAGAAAATGAAAATAAAATCTGAAGAAAGAGGATCTTTTTCTGTTCGTCCTGGAAGAGGAAGAAAACCTGTTTCTGCAGACGCAGTACAGGAGGTTGCGCTTCAGGTCATGGAGGGCACAGCTTCAAACTTACAGGCTAGTGACAGGGTCCTGCATATAGCAGAGGTGCAGAATAGACCACATTCAACAATCTATAAGATCTTGTGGAATATCAAGCAGTATTATCACTATAAACTTTCACTAGCACATCAGTTGCTTTCACATGATTTTGACGTTCAACTCCAGTTTCTTGCTCGCTTTAGGGTCAATTCAGAATGGCCTTGGAATATCTTTTGGACAGATAAAGCCCATTTTCATTTGGACAGAGCAATGAATACTCACAATAGCTGAATTCGGAACTCAGAAAATCTGCGCCCTGCCTTAGAGGTTCTATTGCATTCACCAAAAGTGATGGTATGGCGTGAATTTTCTGCATTATTTATTCTTAGTCTGTACTTCTTTGAGGAGCTAAGTTCCACAGGTTCAGTGGCATGCTCCATCACCGGGCAGTGATATGCATCATTGTTAGAGAATAAAATTCTGCAAGCACACAAGTGCCTTGCACTCACAATCTTTATGCACGACTGAGTTCCTCCACACATTGCACGGTGTGTTACAAGGACCGAATTTACCAAGCTACAGCTTAGTGCCCCCACTTTCTTGGCGGCCCCCAAAAAATTTAAAATGTAGTATGAATAGTATTAAAAATATATTATAAGGCTTATTAAGGGCCCCATATCACAAATAGCTAAGGGCCTTATCAAGTCTAAATCTGGCTCTGTGTGTTACAAATGGTTTTAAACATCATTTTACAGAAGAACATGTCATTAGCTGGCATTTTCGTAATATGTGGCCTCTACGATCCCCAAACCTCAATCCATATGATTTTTGGCTTTGGAGAGATTTGAAACATTTGGTAAGTGATAAAAATACAAAAACTTTACCTGACCTTTTTTTTCTGGAACAAATTTATTAAATTGTAAAACTATTGTAAAAGTGTGGCTAAATATATAATTTATTAATATAATGCCCTCTGGTGATGATATTTATAACTATTTTTTTTCACTGAAAGAAATTATCATCCTTTCATCAAGTCTGCCACAAAATTTCACAATTTCCTGATAACTGGTTTTGCTTGTAGGCAGTTTTGAAATACGGATCTTTAATTATAGACACACTGTATTTTCATAGTCATATTAATTAGAATTTGTACTTTAGAAAACAGTGGCCGTCTTCAGTACAGTCAAAAGTCGTTAATTCGGACACCCATAATCCGGAATGATCTATAATCCGGACATCAAAGCTACAAACTTTCTGCACATGCGTCGCGCGTTAAACCTTTATGGCTTCGCATATGCGTGTGCGCATAATACGTTTACGCATGCGCATTTAATGTATAACAAACGGTACAAGCTAAAATTATCTATTTCAGTTAATGTTGCAGATTGCGTTATTCCTTAATCTTTGAATTGGATCCGGCTTATTATTTTTTGCAGACTGTAGAGCAATTTTATAAAAGTAAGCTTGAACTTTCGATTATGTCAAATAGAATTTCCGATGCTGGAGCTCCCAAAGGATCTACAAAGCGAAAGTATGTTTCGATGTCCATCAAACAAAAAGTGGAATTGCTGCAAAAAATGGATAAAGGCATATCCTTTGATTCTCTAATCATTCCTAAATATGTTTATCAATCTCACGCTGCTCTGTGGGGGGGGGGCGTCGTGATGCGCAATGAACTGGAAGTTGATCTGTCAGCACTATCCTTATCTTCAGGGCAGATGTTTTTATTTTATTTGGGCTTATAATTCCTTACTAAATGTAGTATTTCATCTCGATGTACTCCGTCTTTAATATGATTTAAATCAAATTCCTCGTCATTTTAATTCACTTTCGATAGTGAAAAAGTGACACAGAGGTTATTGAAAACGAAAAAATTTCGATTGACAAATTAGTCGGTATTCTCGACACGGCAATTATAGGACTTGAAAAGCGGAACTTTGTAACTGAACAAGAAATTATGTTTGTTTATAGAATTAAAGAGAAAGTATTATCACATAAAACGAAGCAACTTAAACAACTTACATTGAAAGAAATGTTTAATAAAGCAAACAAATAAATATTAATTTTTTTTTTTTTTTTTTGTAAATTTTGATACCCTTTGGATCATAATTATTCTTTATTTTATAAATTATGCTTATATTTTTAATTTTATAATTTCTGCATGCCATCTTACCAGATTTAAACTGATGATCTATAATCCGGAAAAATCGATATTCCGGAATCGACGAAGTCCCGACGAGTCCGGATTAACGACTTTTGACTGTATTCATAAATAACCAGTTCCTAACATTATTTGCAATAAATTAAAAATATTTCTAATCCTTTTTTCACAGCTATTAAATTATAATCCTAAAGTAATTAAAACGCATGTGAATATTAACATATTTAAAGTACTTAAAAACTTACAAATTACTTGCATGCAAATGCTTTTGGCATATAAAATGAAACAAAATTATACATGACAAGATAATTATATACTGGCAAATCACAAAGGAAAATCCTTGTATCATACTGAAGGGGAAAAAATAGCCTTTCATTATTCTAATTCATTTTTCAATCCAAGGAAAAAAAAAAATTCCCTCTGTGCATTTACAAAACTGATTTTTAAATTTAAAAGTGTGCTAAAATGTGAATTTTGTATTGCTAAAATATGAATTTTGTATCACTTGAAACATTTTTACAATTGGAAATACATGCTTATAACCAATGATTATGAAAATAAAAGGTCACGTAAGTACTTTTATCGGCAAGCTGTATACTAATAGTACTTACCACTATGCTGTTCTGTCCATGCTCTGTGTCAAGTTTTGGTGCACTTACAGATTCAGTCCATGCCACAGTCTAAATGCATATATTGACGATGTTTTTCATTAATAAATATGTTGTGGATGAAATGAAATGAAAAATAGACTTAAAGTACATATACTGAAAGCCTTAACCAGCAGAATTTTCTTGTGCTGAGTGATATCTATGTTCATCTAGAAGGGAGACGATTTGAACAGCTCTATAAACTTGATAAATATTCTAATAACATTAAAATATAAACTCGACCGTTATATTTTTAACAGTGAAATTTTTCTTATTATCTAAAATTTGTTTTTAAAATTTATGCACTTTTTTTATGCCATTATTTCATTTAAAGAGGAATACAATACAGCTATTTTGAAATTTCTTAACTCTTAATACATTTATTTTTAACAAAATGTCCCAATTAAATAAAAACTAGGGAATACCCCACTAATTCACGAAACTTACTTTATGCTTGCATAAATAAAAAGAACATATTTGATAAAAAAATAATCTATACAAATAAAACATGGGAAAACATACCACTGAAAAGTTCACTGAAATAGCACAAATATTCACAGAGCAGCTTTTTCTCAAACACCACAAACATTGTCCTTTGAATGAGTCTGAAAAAGGGAGCCTTTTAAATTTATGAACAACACTTATAGGATGTTTAGAAATAACTTTATGCTCATCCCATTTTTGCATTTGAGTAATTTTACAAGTAGGGATCTTTCTCATATCTGTAAAACTTAATTGTTCAGAAAAAAAGCTTTTAGAAATGAACATTTCTTTTCATCTTTAGCAGGTATTAAAAAAAACTGATCTATAACTTAATTTTAAGCAATTTAAATTTTAATTGAACACTGTAAAGATAAGTGATCATTTTGCTCTTTTATAAAGGTGATAAAGTTAAAAATAACATAACTTTGCAGCTATATTTACATATTTGCTTACCACTTTCTGGTTCTCTAGCTAAAGACATTGCGAGTAAGTTTTGAGGTAGCAACAATAAAAGCTATCTCAGAAACTCAAGGTAAAGATAAAAGCAAGGCTATTTTGATACATGCTTATAACCAATGATTATGAAAATAAAAGGTCACGTAAGTACTTTAAGTTAATATTTGAATGCCTTTTATAAATGGCAATTTATTGTATGACAATGGGCATGCTTTGTGTGTTAGGGTATATTACACAGTTAACAGATGAAATTACTGAAGATTTATCAACTGATATACAATTGCATTTGTAATGGCTTAATACATACACCAATCATAACATGAATTTTGGATTATTGCCATTATTCCCACTCCATGAGTGTCGAACACTGTTTTTGCGCTTGACAACAATTTCTAACTTCAAAAAAGCACACATTTTAAAATTCTTCAACTAAGAATTATCGACAAATACAGTTTACAATGCTGCAAATGTGTTATGTTTGAGAACACATAGTAAAACCATAATTTTTAGTTTGTATGCGACCCACATGCTTTTATTTGTGGATTGCACATGCAATGTTGAATTTGAAAACCAGAATAAGATGAATGATTACACTTGTTCACTTAAATAAACTAAACATGTATCTTTAGCCACTTTGGTGCTTTTGCCTTTACACTGCAAATACCATATTTGCTCATGCATTCCCCCTAGCTTTTTAGTGCTAGGTTCTGAAAATTTTAAAAATATTTGCATAATTTTCCAGTACAATTCTAATATACGCCCTAATTTCACTAAATGTGGCGATATGTGTTCTGCGCTGGTTTTTGGCGCGATTGCGTGTTCTATGGCAACCCTGTTGATGTTGAAAAATCTTTCGCTGGAGCTCGTTGGTTCGCCTCTGTGTCTGAGAAGATGGGAGGGAAAGATAAAATGGTAGTTGTTGAATTGAAGTTCGGCAAAAGGAAATATGATTGTGGCTATCCTGTTGAGGGGTAGTGGGTATTTGGAAGTGTGGAAAGAAGGTCTGGGAGATTATTTTTAATGGCAGTGCATGATAGAAGTAGGGATTTGTGATTTTATTTATTTGTGAACCATAGTATAAATTTTCTGGATAGTGTGTCTGGCTGTCATGTAAATACGATAGTGGTTACGTGGCGGCATGTTAAAGGCGGTATGAAATTTATATTTCTGCTATTCGAAAACGCATTAATTCATGGTAAGTGCATTTTATTTTATCCTTGTTCTTATTTTGTAGAATGTTACGTTCATTGGTTCTTTAGTATGAATTTCTGTCGTTATTGTTGTTTTTTAAATTGTTTGAAATTTATTTTAGTTTATTTTGTTGTTTAGTGTCTAGACTGTACAATTCGTAGATATTTTTTAAAGTTAAAACAGAATGCTGTGTACATGGTATTATTTGAAATTTATTGTTGTTATTTTATTAAAGCGAGGAGTGCGTAGATCGTAGATTCCTTCCTTGCCTAAATTGTGCAATTCGTAGAATTTTTTTAAAGTTTAAACAGGATGCTGTGTACATGGTATTCTTTGAAATTTATTGTTGTTATGTTAATTTATTAAAGCGAGGTGTGCGTAGTTTGTAGATTCGTTCGTTGCCTACATTGTGCAATTCGTAGATGTTTTTTTAAGTTAAAACATGTCGCTGTGTACAAGGATTCTTGTCAAATAATTTTGGTTAGAAACTTTACGTTTTTGCTATCTAAATTTTTTGTTTTTGTTTCGGAATTTTAGCTAAATTGTGTGTTCAAAACGTAGTTTTTGCATGTGCGAAAATCGCGTTTTTGGAGACATTTTGGGCTAAAAGTTCAAAATGTAGACAAAAAATTTAGATAGTAATATGGCAGCGTGAAGTTTCTCGCCAAAAATATTTGGCGACTTGAGGGCGCATATCAGAGTAGTTCCAATTTTCCTCTTCTGTATATAGTTTTTTTCCTCTGAGGGTTAGTTAATCAGTAAATGATATTCCCTTGATTACTTTTAATCAATGTATTCACTTTGTATTTCATTTATGTATTTAACTTTTCATCCATTTTATTTCCCCTTGTTTTTATTATTTAATCTATTATTTATGTTCCAGCTCTGTTAAATTTTTCGAAATCTGTCTTTTTTTTCCACCCTCTTTCTCCAATGTTCCTTCTAGGAACTGTATAACTTGAGGCTTTATGAGGTAACTGAGACAGACACATGCTCTGTGCAGTATCCATGACTTTACATGACAACATTATTGATTTTATTCTTTATTTAGGATAAAAAATTCTTCGAAGAAGTTTCTTTTGACATGTGTGTACTACAAATGCAGTGTATTCCAAATTTTCAAAGCCACTGGAAAAGAAAATAAATGTAGTTAAACAGTACAATTTAAAGTTTGTTGATGGGACCAGTAGAGTCCAAGTTAATGGGACCAGTAGACAGTCTGGTGTTCAAACTACCTTAATTCAACAGTGGAGGAAACAAAAAGATGCTCTGAGGAAGACAAATTCAGAGTGCAGAGCATTTCAGGGACCAAAAGTAGAAAATTTCCAGAAATTGATAGTAGTAAAGTGCTATATTATGTGATAGAGCAAAGGAATAATGGCATAGCTATGTTGTGTGAAATGATACAAATTAAAATGAGGGATGAAGTGAAAAAATGTGATACTATAGCTCAATAATTTAAAGTAAGCAGAGGATAAATCAATCATTTCATGAAAAGAAATAGACTTAGGTTAAGAAGAACAATGCTTGCACAATAGCTACCACAGGCTTATGGAAAAGAAAAAAAAAAAAAAAAAAAAAAAAAAAAAATTGTAATCTAGCAAAGAAAATATTATTGCAATTATGGTCTTCCTAAACATATAGGAAATGCAGATCAAAATCCTGTATTTTTTTGACATGCTTTATAACACTATTCATGCTTTATACAGTTCATCAAAAGGGGACATATCTTCTGCTAGAAAAAACTATAGCATCTGAAAAGGTAACACAATAATGCTAGCAATGACTGCCGATGGTTAAAAGTTGCCACCTTTCACAGATTTTAAATCAAAGATGCTGCTGAAATAAAAACTGCCTCATGGTATCATTGTTAGGGGATATGAGAAAGGTTAGATGCCATCTGACTTAATGAGCGAGTGGCTCAGAATTGTCAGTCAGGTGCTCTTCTGCTTAAAAAATTATTATTAGTCTTGGGCAGTTTCCATGAGTATCTTTCACGGAAGATGTAAAAAGAATCAAATAAACACTGTTCCTGTCATTATTTCAAGAAGATGACATTACTTCTGCAATCACTGGATGTATCAGTGATTGCAGAAGACTTATAAACTGTTCAAAGACTATCTCCAGAAGTTTTAGGAGTGGATATCAACAAGGCCGCACAATTGCAGCAGAACTGTAAAAATCTAGAGACTATCTATTTAATTGATTTGCTCGTGGATTTTGGGTGCATGCACTTTGATTGATAAAGCAATAATGATGAACTTCAAGAAAATGGGGATATCTAATGGTCTCAATCAATTTGAATATCACTACATGTGCGAAGATAGATTTAAAGGTGACCAAGCCAATGACAATGGCAACATGTTGCCCTCTGTAACTGACAACATATACAACAGTTTCAGCAGAAATAAATGATTTGTGGCCAAAAGGGTAGCAGTGATCAACAGTAAGTACAGGCAAGATTCAAGTTACAGGTGAGTAGGAATGAAGCTATCTTATTAGATTCTGTAATACTAACATTCCTATGCATTCTTGTAGGGTTCTTTTAAAGAAATAATATTGTGATAATTACTAGAATTTTATCCATGACTATTTTTCATTTATGTTCTTACTGTAACCGCGTCCTTTAGAAATTAAAGTACTTAACATAATTTCTCCCTCGATTTTCAGACAATAAAAAATTAAGACAAAAAAAAAAAAAAAAAAAAAAAAAGATACAGATACGAATTCCCTAGTATGGTCTATTAAATAATACATATTCTTTGCTGCACTTAATTTAAACTTATTTCCTCAAATTATTCTAACTTACTTAACCACTCAAAGCAAGCTGAAAACAAATTTCAAATTTTGAAATTAAATACAGTCAAAAGTCGTTAATTCGGACACCCATAATCCGGACCTCAAAGCTACAAACTTTCTGTGCATGCGTGTAAGACCTTTATGGCTGCAAATATGCGTGTGCGCATGTGCATAATACGTTTATGCTTGCGTGTTTAATGTATAACGGAGGGTATAAGCTAAGCTAAAATTATCTAATTCACTTAATGTTGCAGATTGCACTGTTCCTTAATCTTCGAATTGGATCCGGCTTATTATTTTTTGCAGCTGTTTAGAGCAATTTTATAAAGTAGCTTGAACTTTCGATTATGTCAAATAGAATTTTCGATATATATTTAGTAATGCGTAAAGGATCTACAAAGCGAAAGTATGTTTCGAAGTCCATTAAACAAAAAGTGGAATTACTGAAAAAAATGGATAAAGGTAATGGACATGTAAACAATGGACATACAAATTACAGACAAATTTAACGAAGGATTTATGCACAGCCCTTTAGGCTCACCAAAAGCTTTTTATAAGTGCTAAGTTCATTTGACTTCCTGTATAAACTACCTTCTTATATCCTTATAAATTTATGATGAAATGTGGCTGTATCAAGAAGTGCTGAAAGAGACATTTCAGTAACGAATAGTACCACTTTTATATTTTACATGTGAAATAATGAGTATATAAAAAAATATTTGTTTTCTGAAAATCCTAAACAACTTTTCAGGGACATCTTTTGAGAATATTTTTGTGAATGCAAATGCTATGACATTAAAGTTCAGATAAACATGAATAAATCGTTTTGAAACTTCTATTATCAATAGCTTAAAGGATTAGGCTTTCCATTCTAACTACTAAAACAAATTTAAAAAAATCAAAACTAAAATGTCATCTGGCAGTTTTATTGTCAAGCCTTGCTTCTAATTATTGTTATAACCAGTAACTTAAAATATTAGGTACTTAACTTCAAAAGTATATCACTAGAGAAACTTGACAATAGAAAAGCTTAACAGCAATTCAATTTAGATTTTGCTGGCTGGACAGTAATCAGAACGGGAAGGAAACTTTTTACCTCTAGGTTACATCACTTGTCAAGCTTTCGATTAACACAAATATGTACAAATTCCTTAAGACACTTAAAATCAAAATCAAAATTTCTGTCAATTCAGACAACAAAAAGATAATTACATTGCTTTAAAAGGACAAATTTAGGGAAGCCAAAGAAAAAAAAAATATATGTTAAATACAATATACACATTAAAAAAAAACGTACCAAAATTATTGCTCAGAAGGTGATGAAAAAGTTTTGGGTAAAATCCTAGTATACGGTGCAGCCTTTGGCGCGATTTTGAAAATTATCGCCAACACCAAAAATGACCCAAAGAACGTCTAGGCATATATTAAACGCTTTGTACTATATCACTATATACATAGTAAATACTATGTATAAATACTATGTATAACTATATATATTCTTTCAATGACCAGTTTACTACTCATCGTAAATGTCCCGTTTTTACTGCTCATCATAAAGTCGCCAAATCCCGTGTGCACCGGATACTAGGATTAAACCAATTTTTTGAAACTGAACCATGAACATATGATAGTATTAATAAATATTAATAAATTGTTACTTGCTTTAGATTTAAGTTTTATATTGAGATAGTTCGACAAGCACTATAAAACAACAAAGAATGCACTTAATACATGAATGCTTTTGCAAAACCAACCAAAACACACACACACAAAATAAAAAACAATCCAAAGGCAGCAATGGGAAATGCGTCATTATTGTATATTGTATAATATGGCCATAGCAACAAGCAAATTAGGGAAAGAGAGCATTTAAAATGTCTTCCGAAAATACAGCAAGCATTGGTACAGGAAGCAGAAAGCACTGGTTTTTCATTTATTTATTTAATTTATCAAAAAAGATAGCCTTATCCAAAAATAGGTCAACGTACTTTCTTATGTATATAATAAAACAGTTGGCAGACATTTGACATATTCCTTGCTTTGCACCCACTAAGTCTTTTTGCGTTCAGGGTGAAAAAATCAAGCTTAGATGTGAAGATAAAGAGGGAATTTTGTTTGAGAGAAAAGAAATTAGATCATATGAGCGGGAATGTGATATATTAATACATTTATGAAATCGGTTCCAAAATTATTTTCTTGCGTTTTCGTTACAAATGCACATTACTTGACTTTTAATGCTAATTTATCTAGATAACAGAACCGAATTAGCAATCAGTTACCAAACAAATACAAACACACTTTAATCCCGCTTTTCTCCATGTATTTGCCTTTTCTCCCTATCTCATATTCCTAAGGCTTCTCCAGACTTACCCATTCCTCACATGATATTTCCTTCCGTTGGCATAATGAAATGTCGCCAAGTTGGCGCCACAAGGCTGTTCTCCGAAGAATATGCGTCCATGTGACCTATCACCTAATCACAAAAGCCAGAATGTGCTGTTGTAAGTGTAAAGTATGCTGAGAGAAGTGTTGAAAATACTAGCCTAATCTAAATAAAAAAGGGTTAAAAAACTATGGGGGATCATTCGTTTCAGTAATTAAGCAGTCATGAACATTTGTTTCTCGTCAGAGGAAAAAACGAAGCTAAAAAACATCTGATCAGGAGTGTGGCGCTCTAAGAACGGGCTTGAGCTTGTTAAAAGCGTCGGCAAAGCCAAAAAAGGGGTTCTCCAGCTTGATAACAATTTAAAATTTAGTTAGAAAGCTAACTGGAGCCACGCAGCTCTATGAGAAGTCAAGTTTTGGAAATGATTTATACTAGGCTTCACTGGTTTAGAGAAACACTTCCACAGATATAAAAAAGTTATTACTTGTACAAAATGCTTCATAAAAAAATTCTCTTGAGAAAATATTAAGAGTGAAAGGAGTTAAAATTATTAGGAAAATAATAATTTAACCATAACCACTTATAATTTATAATAAAACCATAACTAGCGTATCGATAAATTGAAGTGTTTTTGAACCAGAGCTGATTTTTGATAAAATGTTTGAAAGATTGAAAGTTTATAGTCTAAATAAGGAACCAAATTAGGTTTTGGTTGATAGAATAACCAACCAAAAAGGTCTGATCTGAATTCTCCAACTATCGAGCGAAATTAAATTAAAATATATAAATTTGTATCTTTTAAGTGAGAGGAAATTTGAGAAAATTTATAACCTTTGAGCAATAGATTCGTAGCTCTTACATTTTTTTCAAGGCTTATCAAGGCAATTGTCTTACTTTTTAGTGCAACTCGAAATCTTATGTACCACGGAGTATCTAAGTACCACGGTATATCTGCACCACGGAGTATCACAGAGTACTCCTATCTTAAGGTACACGCCTTTAAAATGGTGGTCCAATTTGATGAGCTCTTATGTTATTAGAGGCCCCTCGTGGGATTCTGTGATAAGCTCTGGTAAGAGTGGGATTAATTTCCAGGATATGCAACCAAAGTACTCCGTGATCTGCTTCATCGCTAGGATAGAAAGACATATTTCAATTAATCGATTGGCAACACTGTAGATGAAGGATTGCAACTTAATTCGCAGAAGTGTGAAGTACGTATTGTTATTTTCTCCTAAATTTTAATTTTTTTGAAAGTGTCGAATATAAATGTTTTTTTGTTATAGTAAAGTAATTTGTTTGTAAAAGATATCACTAAGAACGCATAATGTATGTTTTTAATATTTGGCTTAAATTATAATAGGAATGTTTTATTTATTCTTGTATGAGCTTGTTTTGTATCATTAACCTTTTTCTTTCGGTAAGGAAACGTCTTCTTCTTTTCTCTTTTATGCAATAACTTTGAAGTTGTGTTCTATTTTGAGAGATAAGAGTGAAACTGGAATAAACTGTGCAAATGAATACTGGTTTAAAAGTTCTCATTTGATGTATTTGGTAAGAGAAATAATGGAGTTTAGTAAAAATTGATTGTAGAATCTTGGCAATGCTTGGGAAATAATTATAACGTGTTATTTTTTGAACTGAATGCAGCGCGAAACTTTTCGGCTCTAGTGTAGAATTGGGTGCCCCTTCGATTAGCGACAATTTGTTTTTAAATTTTGGCGATGAAACCTCACTTCTGGTTACCATGATAGTTTTAACTTTGTTTTAGCCTAATGATTTTATTTAAATGAAAATAGATTGATGTGTACATTGACAAATTTAAGGCAGTGCACAGTGCCTACTTTGTGCAATTCTAGGATGTTTTTTTAAGTGAAAACAGATCGATGTGTACATAGACACAGAGTTTGTGCAATTCTTCGACTTCTTATTTTGGTTTTATGTAGAACCACCTTGAAATTGTGCCTTCCTGTCACCGATCTTGGCGTCTAAAAAGAATCGCCAAGAAACAAGGGGCACCCAATTGTAAACTTTTACCAATTTTTCTTTTAAAGTTGCATAATAATTGTTGCAAATTGCGGGGAAAGTGCAGAATCGCCCACAGCTTGGCGCGTTTTTAAGAATTGCACATACTCGGTATCCATGTGCACGTCGACCTATTTTGACTTAAAAAAATCATCCCAGAATAGCACAAAAAATGGCATTGCGCAGTCCCTTGACTTTATCCATGTGCACATCGACCTATTTTCGCTTAAAAAGTCAAAGAAAATTGACAAAAATCCAATTCTTACTCTTGTAAAAAGTGCCAAACAAATAATAGGGCAATTCTGCACTTTAGCTCAAATTGTATACAGTAATTCAAATAAATTTGCATCTTTTTTTTTTATCGAAATATATTATATATGATAGAATTTCTATTGATGTATGTGTGAGTGAGTGTGGGTACATCGATTTCCTGATGAAATTTTGCATTCACAGCCTTGAACAGTATCCCTCTCATCAGTAATTGTTGTTTCTTGGGTCAAGATATTTGCTTCCCAGAAGGGTAAAAGTATAGTTTAGGGTACCCCTTGGCGAAACTGGGCTATTTTTCACGGTATATGGATACCGATTTTGAGCAATTTTTTTACTTGTTATTTTGGCTTGCGAAGCGGCGATTTTTGCACCAAATATCGATGCTAAACAAAGCCCAAATAACAAGACAAACAATTGCACAAACATAGTATCTATGTACACATCGACTTATTTTCACTTAAAAAAAATCCCCAAATTGCACAAAAATGGCATTGCACACTCCTTTGACTTTATCCATGTACACGTCAACCTATTTTTCACTTTAAAAAAAAACCTTGAATTGCATAAAAATAGCATTGCACACTCTTTTAACTTTGTCCATGTACACATCGATATATTTTCACTTAAAAAGTAAAAGGAGCACCCAGTTCTACAATATAGGCAAGCAAAAAATACATAATCTCAATAAAATACATTTTAAACCAAACAATAAAATAACATAAAAAGGAAAAACATGTTATTACATTAAGCACTACCAAAAGCAAATATTCACTTACCATGATTTTCTAGTTCACTTCGTACACCCAGAGCCACGTAAAAATCAAAAATATCAATCATACTCAAAGGACTTTTTTCAAACCAGCTACACTTTCTGATTGAACGCTTCACATAGTGAGCATCTGAACCTTTCTTCCTACAAACCCATTCAAATCCATCTAAAAGGGTTTTTACTTTCAACTAGATGCATATCCTTCCTACATACAGGACACTTATAATGGCTACTAAGTAAACCTTCATTTACACACCAGTCAATTAACGCTCTTTTCCCCTTACGTTCCAAATCGCACAGAAACTTCAAATTAATCTTACTACATTCAGCCATTCTACGGTCTACACAATAAAACCAACACACACCACAAATGCGCTTACAAAACATCCCATGATTCAAAATTTCCTAGAATCATACACCCGATTCCATCACAATAGGGTTTCCATAACATTCAACTACTCAGGCTACCATAAATGAAAGAACAATTTGGTGATAAATCAAACAACTTTGCCATTATACAAGGGGTACCTTAAAGTCTACTCTACCCCCCCTTCCAGAAGCATGAATAGAGTGGCATAAAAATACTTCTTCACATTATGGTGATTCAATTTTATATTGCATTATTCAGATCATATTTCTGCAAGTAATAAAGCAACAGCACGATTATCATGATAGAAATTTTCACAGTCAGGTTTTTGCAAATTTTACGGAGTTTTCCGAGGTTTTGTTAACATTTTGGCTAGTTTATTTTTAATAATTGCATAGCTTAAATATGACCTGTCATTAGAATTTATGTATAAAAATTAATCTCTTCCAAAATCTAAACTAGGACTTCACTCTTATAACTCCTTCAATTTTTGTTAGACTTCCGTAGTATGAGAAAAAGCCATTTTACATTATGTCATTAAATATGCCTTCCATTATCTATGCTTGTCAAATAGTTTTGATGTTGATTGATCTTTTTTTTTCCTTCTTAATTTCAAAGCATGCCTAATAAAGAAACTTGTGTCTATGATACAATATATCAAATTACTAGTCTTCTAAATAGAAATCTTAATCTCAAGCAATAGCATTTAATTGTATGTCTAGTTTATACATTGTTGGTATTATATCTCAAATTACAAATCTTCACTTTTTGTTGTTTACCTTTGTATCTGTTTCCTGTGTTTATTTTATTTTATTTTTTTATATTTTACATTATGTTCGAAGAAACAGTTGTATTAGTTAAATTTATCAGAATTGCAATCCAGAAGTTGCAACTCTACTTTTCTCAAAATGTAAAAGTATTTTAGTCAATGGTTTTTTAGGGATTTGTGATTTTAGCACAGTGCTTACAAAATGCAAGTTTTAATTTTTATGTTTGTTTATGAGATAGCAATTTGCATTATTTTTTCATGTCTTTTAAATTTCTCCCCATCAGGGCTAGTGCTAGAGCCAGTGGCCATATCTTAAGAATTTAGGGAGGCATTAAGCATAATTGAAAAGCCGTTAATTTTGTATAAGGTGGTAAACATTCTTTCGTTGGCTGTAATGTCCATCAATCTTCTCTCCTCGTCAAAGAAATCAACACTTCTGCGGATTTTTTTGTTTATTCCACTTACATGGTTACACACTAATTCACTAAAACTACATAACAAATAGTCAAACTACGTACACTAATTATACTACTACAAGGTTATTTCATTTTAACTATTGACTCCCATGAACCTTCCTCTTTTCTAACCTCTCTCCAGGTCTCTTGCTCAAAAACTAAACTTTTTGGTACTTTTCAGACTAAGAAGGGCCCCCCTCAATGTATTTCGTTGGTCTACGTCGCCAATACATCATGTCTTCTATCCCAAACTGAAACGGTGAATGTTTATT